AAAAAAAAATAAGAAAAACTCACGGTCCAACTGCCAAATCTCAGAATGCAGCGCTGATCATCGAAGGGAAAAAATTCGACGTCTGAAAATAGCCATCAACGAGAACACACAACCAGAACATTCGACATAGCGACCTTATTACTGCTACCTTTTACTATTATTACCTTTTTTTTATTTCCTTTTTCCTGAACCTAACAACCTAACAATGCAAAGCAAAATATACTGCTTGTTAAAGCGGAGTTCACAAAAAAAAATCATTTTCGAGACTTCCGAATAGAATGAGCCTATCACCTCCGGGTATGTCATATGGAGCGCTATCTGGTTGAAAACCGGTCAAGACGCAGTAAGGACTTCAGCACTTACTTCGCCAACGTACACTCCCAAACGCGGATGAGTTACAGCAGCGTTATAAAAGCTACACTATTCACGTGGGTCACCCTCATTGGGAATTCAAATGACCAGTCGTGACCCATGGCGGAAGTGGAAGGCAGTTTCAAACATTTTTGGCTCACAGTTACAGTTTTTTACGAAACTGCGGTAATCTCGTCCAAATACCCTTTCATTGCCGTTTCCATCATGTTAATCTCGTCCAACCCTCTGTTCCCTCTACATTTAATATGGATTAGATTTCGTGAACTCTGCAGATCATCTCGCTTCCTTCGCCACTGACCCACTACTCTAACTCAATGCACCCACGACACGGCTACTTTTGGGTGTGTACGTCGACCAAGCCTATTCAATCCCAAAACTATAACTACTGGGAACTGTGCCTTGGAATCCAGCGGTCTAAAGGCTGGTTTAAACTCAGTATATGCTTAGCGAATTACCAAGCATAGCTCACTAGAAGAGCTCCATGAAGCACTTCACTCTTTTCATCACTGAGATCACTGATAAGAATTAATAATAAAATTAATAAATCTCCATTAAATCTAATTAATTCAATAAAGAGTTCCACCTACAAACCTCGGACGGCAGGAGAATTTCACTAACGAAAAAAGGAAAATGCCGAGGTTACAACAAGAGAGAAGATGGAAGTTGTTAAGAATAAAGGCAATTAATTTACTCCATATAACATCTGTTCAAAACGAAATGGTTGCAATTAAAAGAGCTACATTTTTCGGAAATCAAGCGCTAAAAAAAATGTTTTCTGACCGACATTATATAAAAATGAGCAAAAAAAGGTGGGTGAACATTGTATCTGAGCAACACATTTCCTACTTTTCCTAAACATCCTAATTCAAAGGCACAGTTCACGATAATTCTGAGGTACCCGTTTTTATTCGAAAAGCGGAAGTACAGATTGGGAATGGTTCATCGGTTGTGAAGAAAGCGAGAGAATTCCCCGATTTCGAGAAAAATATGGCTTCTCAAATGTAGGGAAAATAGAGGTTGGACGAGATTTTAGTTATTGCAATTGCGCAGAGAGCTGATTTTCCCTACATCAAGCCAGAACTGTACAACTGCCTCTCACTGTCCCCATTAGTCATTACGAATTGTTTGAACTTCCCACATGGTTCCCTTGAGAACGGTGCAGCCTCTACAATGCCGGTGAAACTCGTCCGAGGATACATCCGGGCCAATCTTTGAGCCTTTATAACTCCCTGACTAGGCCCTTTTCCGACCTAATAACGTCAGATGTGGTGTACACGGGGGCCTCAAATTCATCCTGTGAGGAACCCTCAAATACCATTTTTATCATGAACTATGCCTTTAACCTTTTCTTGATTTCTAACGTTGACAGTCACATCGCTTTTTATCAGAGTTTGAAATATTCCCAGGAAACGTACCAATGATGCAGCTGCTTTTATAGATAGCCGGTGGCACCCAAAGCACTTCACCCGTGTGATGAATGAGCGCATTACACATGAACGACACTTCGTAGTTACCGTCAGCACTGGAAAGTAAGCCAAAACTAAGTAAACAGTAGGAATTATGAGCAAACCTGTAATTGCATAGAAAGTTGGGCATGGGTTAGGCTCAGAGTCAGATGGCCCTCGATACGACCATTTGAAGGGGTTCATAAATGTGAAAGTTAAGGGTGAAGTTCATGATAATTCTGAGGTGTCAAGCTTAAGTGAAGTAATGGAAGTCTTGCTGTCAAATAGTGCAAAATAGCGAAGAAAGCGTGAAATACGCGGATTTCAAGAGACATAAAACTTCAAAAAAGTAGAAAGAAAGGGGTTTGTACGAGATATGTGTTTGTAACCGTCTTGATGTCCCACAATACCGTGCTTGCTTCATTGTGGATGGTGCAGCCTTTACAGGGGCGTAATAACACGGCCACCTTCGGGTGTGTACGTTGGCCAAGCTGGTTTTGTAGCTCTTATAACGCCCTGTCGAGATCGTTTTTCGACCTCTTAATCTCTCAGGTGCTTCTCTTGAAGCAAATAATCAGCTTACTTATTGAACAGCACAATGTCCGGTAGCCAGATTTTATCTGGCGCCACACGAATTTGGGTGATTCCGCCGTAGTCTTTAGGATTCCACTGCATTTGAAAGTCGTGCCATCTCTAAAATTTATCCAATTTGCAAAAATTCTTTCCCGATAAAAAATTAACCAGAAAAAAATGTCATGATCAAACCCTGAAATTTGGGAATGTCAGCTCACCAGAGTAAGCCATACGTTCGTGTGCATCACCTGTTCCTTTTCGTCCTGGAAAAAAACGTAGAAAAGTTTTAAAGAAAAGCTGAGAAAATTTTCCAAAACCCTTACTTACCACATTAATAAGTAATATGAGCTGCATGGCGATCCTGATGATCATCGGCAGTTCGGTTTTGTTACGAACCGGCTGTACTAGAGAGTTGTAGCCGCGGAAAAGATCGACCATCAGACGTTCTTCAGCGTCTGCCATCATCGCGGCTGTTGGAATTCTCAAAAGAAATATGGAATAAAGTGGCAATTTCAATTTCGAGGCACAGCGATTTCTTCAACAACTCACTCAACGAAGGCAAAAAAAAACCTTCGAAAGACAATGCCATCCAATTAAAACTTGAATACAAATCTCGTGAATAGTTCAGAAAACTACTTAATTATACAGCAGATATGCCGAATTTCCTAGAAAGCCGTAGGAAGGGAGGAAAGAGATATGAGAGCGAGAGAGAAAGTAGACGGATGAAATCTGAGTAGCCGGAAATTGCTATGGAAGATAGTAAATTCGATATGAACGCGATGGATGAATGTTTTCCCAGCGAATGCACCACCTAAGCCTTCCGACCTCCCCATGCAAGTCACATTTAAGCCCCCCGCAGGCATTCGCAAAGTTCTTCAACGCTAAGTTCAATTCTCCCGTTCTCGACAGCAATCGATAATTATAACGTAAACTATAATCTCAAATATTGATTACATGCAAAAGACTAAACTGAACTAGCCCTATAAACTATTTTCCCAACTAGGCTAAATGTTTCATTTCAATTTACTCTTCGATACTTAGTTAAGCAAACTCTGAGCGGCAGCTTAAGGGTTGTCTGCCAGCTTGGGAAGCAGTGTTTCATCGAACGAGATCAATTTTATATCTCTACTGGTCCGATGGTGGCAGGTCGAGGGTGACTGACATGAGCGGAACTCGAACTCCACCATTTTTATGGGTAATCCTTAGACTCGCCCCTAAGCTTTCCGCCTCTGGATACATCAATTCTGCTGCTTAGAAACATCGAAAGCCCATAGCGCCCACCAGGCAAAACTTGAAGGGCCATTTGAATTTTTTGAATTCGATCGCATAAGAACGTAGGGAATATGTTTAAAAATAAAAATCTTCTCCTTTGCATTGAGAACCTATCATATTGAAGAACTTCTCTCTCCCAAACTTCAATCGGGTTTGCAAAAATCAGCGACTAGGCGAAAGAGCTCAAATGCCTAAATTTCATGTCGTATTTTTAAAGATTCACTTGAAAAGTTCGCTCTTGCCCAAAGCCATTAATGGTTTTATCTTTCAGTCTAAACGTTCATGCGTCATTGACGAGGCTGACGCAACTATTTTTCAATTGCGTCATTTATTATAAACAAAAGAAGCTTTTCGCTAGTTTCGAAGCATTGATGCTAACCTAACCCGGTAGGGAATCGCAGGTCTCTAGCCTGTGAAAAGAATATCTCAGTAAAATAGCATCTGGTGTCTAAGGAGTAGCCCTATGTGGTGGGAGAGAGGGCATAGGCCGCATAGTCCTCACCCTTTCCGAGCTTTGATGCCTCGAAAAAAAAAAGATTCTGAAGCTAAATGAGAAAAAAGACGTGACTTGGCACGCCTGCTTGTGATGTGGTAAAGCTTCAAACGAAAAGTATAATGGTAAGCAAATGAAAAAATGACACCTTGAAATAGCCAACGAGTCTACGGGGTTTGACGGTTCCATAGTCACCACGGAAAAGTGATCAATCAAGATTAACCGTTCCAAGATTCCTTTTTGTTGGACTTCTATTCGAGCTGGAAATCACGTTTAGAAGTGGACACTGAAGCATTTCCAATCTCGTACAGCTTGTGTTGTTTCTTAGGGGACTCCCTGTGAGCTAACCAAGTCGTCTTCCTCGTTGGGGTTGGTTAGGTGGTACTGACACGGGACCTTATAATCCTGCAATTCATTCTAGACAGAAAGTGAACGAACGAGCATCTGATCGGCAGTGGTTCTACCCATTACGCCATTTCCCTTTTGGTGCCTAATAGCCATGACCGCCAAGATTCAATCATTGAGAAGCAGCGAAAAATCTAAGCAATGCTTTTTCTGTCGGCCATTTATCAAGAAATCAATTTGAAAACCGGAAAGCTTTCGGTGAAAGAAAAGGAAGTCAAAAACGAAGTTCTCAAGCAAAATCTTAAAAACTGAAGCTCCTGCAGTGTCGCAGTTAATGCAGTGAAGATAAGGAGTGGGCCGGCTCCCGAGAAAACTGGGGATTCATGAGGCCAACAACTTTAAAAAGCTTGAGATAAATGCCTCGATGAGGGACGAAGAAGAAAGGTCTACTTCAGCATTGGGATCGAGTCATCCTCTCTCCTCCATTTCATGGCTACTCCTTAAAGCAGGCAATTTTTCAATAGGGAAGCTTCACGGAATCACTGAGAGCAGTTTAACCACACACAAAAAAACTCCTCCACATCCTTCCACCTCCTCATAGTGAAGGATAATTCTGGATGCTAGTGGTGAAGAGTAAAAAAAGTTTCAATGGTTCAAGGTCGTGCAAACAATGTGGATAGGGCGTTTTTCGTTGACTCTTTCCTAGTCTTCAGAGTGTTCTCCCTGCTGCATTGGTCTGAACATAAGTGACAAATATTCTCGAGAAAATAGCAGACAAAGACGGCTAAAAAAATGTACCTTCGAAATTTGCACTGGTATCAGGACGATTTTGGGTAATCACTTCCATAAATAACCGTTAATTCCATATCTCCCCCTAACCAAAGACGTTCTGCCATATCCCATCGAGAATACTGCATAATACTTGGATCGACAGTATCTTGCCGTCACTGATGCCAGATAAGGAAATAACTAGCGAAAGACGTGAAATGTAATCGGACAATGGCATCATGTCTAAGAAACTAGATGTCATCTGTTTTTGAATGTTGTCACGTTTCTGAAAACAATCCACTGAATGTGATAAAGTCAGCAGTGATTGCTATGTTTCACAACGCCGTTAGCTACTAGGGAAAAAACAAGAGGACCCCTGGTGATGAACATTTTGTGGAATGCTTGGACGACGCGGCTTTGGACCATGTTATAAAACATGAAAAACAAGGCTAAGCAGAACGGACCTCATGATTCAAAAAGGAAGTTTGTAGATACCATAGTAAATCATGGACGACGAATTAAGTATAGTTTTAAGGGATGCCCTTCTCATTTGACTTGGAATGTAAGACTTTGTCAGCCTAGATGATGAAGTTTTGGTATTCCAACCCGTGGCCATTCGCGTGTGAGAGTGTTTCACTTTTCATACCACCTTCACTTCAGGACATGGATAATGCAGCCAAATAATACGCAAAAACAAACTTAAAAAGCAGGTCTGCTGGGTTGTAGGAGGTAGTGAAATGTCGTAAAAGGGAAACGGTGTAGTGCCAAGTGGCGCACTATCACACACGCATGGCCACAGGTTCGAGACCCGGATCGATATCCGCCTAAGCCAATCAGGCCTTCCATCTCTCCGGGGTCGATTAATCGGTACCAGACATGTCTGATTGTGAGAGGATAAAAACACTGTTTCGTACATACATCTGGTGGTCAGTGTTAGCCATTGCAGAAGCACCACATTTGATTATGAGTGTAAATCGATTGTGGGGGAGCACCTCAAAACGGGATTGATCAACACCAAAAGATCTTGGACTTCTATTGGCCAAACATTGTCGGCTTTCGGTTAATTCTGACGTCAAAGTGGAAGTTGATAAGCAAATGATTTTCATCTCTGAAGAGCTGGAGATACATATATAAAATTCACAAAAAAAAAACAGGAGACCAGGCGACTGAGTTTCAAAATAGCTGGAGACACCTGGGATTCAGAAAAAACGGGAGGCCAGGCCACTGGATATCAGAACAGCGCTTACCAATGATTCATAGTAAATTTGACAATAGTTTCAAGGATTTCGCCAAATTAACCACAAATGCTCGATATTCTCTGAGATACCATTCAGAAAGCATCAAGAACTCGATGTACTTGAAAGCAAAAGGCACCAAAAAGTGCAAGGAACATGCTTGTCATTGTGTTTGAGAGGGATTTCAGAGGGGTGCGAATCGCATAATTGGTCTTGAGTGGGCTAGCCAGAAGAAGCCGTCCGGGATGTGGGGTGTTAATGGAGATACACTCCGTGAATCGAAACGTATTGTTGCAAAAGCACTTCAATGGGTGCGCCGGACTACATCTGCCAAAGAAATCTTCGAGCTCCGCTCGATATGAGCTTCCAATGTAAGCGGCAAGATTCCGGAAACATCCAACATATTAGCACATATCAATCACTTTGCACTAAACTTTACATCTGAATACATCCCGCTGCATCAAGAAAGCACCAGGCGAATCTATCGACAAGATATATTTCAATGAATGGGTCTAACTAGAAACGAAAGGTTTCTACTTGGGGTACAGTAGAGTTTACCTGGAATAGATTCCCCGAAAAAAAAACTCTAAAATTGTCTTATCGGGGACCAATGATCTGCAAAACATTAGATGTTAAGCTGGTCTTGAACATTCCTCTGTGCTTCCTCAGAGGATTTGGAAGAACCGTTTTAAAAAGCAGTCTCTGAGAGCATCTGAAGGCGCTTGCAAATTGACAGCTATTGCCAGTTAGGTCATAAATATCCACTGCAGAACAATCCAAATCTGATTCATCGCAATTTCGTCAACAAATTAGCGGTGACTTTAGCTTACTCTCACATTCCAGCTTGCACCTACAAAAGAAAAATTACTTGGGAGCTCAGTATAGCCTATAGTTATGCTGTGACCAGGGACTAGTTCAAAGGTGATTTCTGGTATTGCTTCGGACGCTTTTATCTGATCAAATCTTGCTCGGGTGGACCAACAGTTTTCACTTTGAGTCTAGTGAAAAGTCCGAAAATTGAAATATTCGCACTTGCCAAGATGTAAAAGAAAAATCGGGAATGTTTCGTTCTAGACATAACGTTACAAGGGCGACGAAGCGGGCGTGGCCCACGTGCACATCTAGAAGTGGCCGTAATATAACGGCCTTTTTTAAGGCTTCACCATGCTGTAACTAGGTGCTGCACGATGTTGTAATGATGCGTAAGAACCCCGACGATATGCGGGGGACATCCAGACACATAATCTCGTAAAATCCCATACTTTTTTGTAGCAATGTATTCCTTGAAATCCGCTGATTTGCGCGCTTTCCTCGCCACCATTGCTTTATCCCGCACCGTAACTTACACTATTTCACACAGGGCTGGAAAAGTGGAAGCAATCAGCTTGTAGTTCAAGAAGGCTCCACTTACTTACATCACTCAATATAGTGCGATAGATATTACAGGAGTTACGAGAGAAACTCAGGAAGAGGCATTTAGTTAGTATGAGGAAATCGAAGCTAATGCTGAATGCCCGATAGACCACGGTTTTTTTTTGGTAAAAACACAACATACCAATTTTCCAGCCGCTTCGTTATAAATGCTCTCGTATCAGAATAAACGCTCAAAATAAATCGACACCAAAAGAGCGTGTGAGTGTGACACGTGCATACTGTACTGTAACCTCTGGACCCTAAGCTGTAAACACTGCTACACCTGGGAATCTCCGGAAGCGGAAAACTAGGCATATGACCCGGGGAGTGTCTTGAGGTACTTCGGTATTGAGGTCGGACCATAAACTCTTCTACAGTCTCACTGATGGTTCTTCCAGCTTCTGTATTGTTATCGAGGAGCTACATGGTAAAAACCCCGAACGAGGGTACCACCTTAGACTTCTGCTCATCACCACTAACTACAAAATGTGTTGACCAAAGACATTTTCAGTTCAGGCAATGGATGAGCTATTTACAATCGTCGTATATACGCGTCGAAAAGGGGCCTCTGGGAAGGACACGGGGTGACCGGTGGAATAGCTAGACGGTACCGTAAGAGCCGAGTGCCCGTACTGACTTTTCGTTCCTGTTAGTTGTACGCATCAATGAACCAGATCAAGAAAAAAAGCACTGTATAAGTAATTGGCACGAGTTATCCTTACTAGATTAGGCATAAGTAGGATGGGCTGGTTGAGTGTAGAAAAAGAGTTGGTTTACGCTCAGTCCACACCCTTCTTACAGGGTGGACATCATCCCATTACTACGACAACATCCCATCTAAAACACACTAAGTTCTAATGGGGCTCGTGGGATTTTTTCTCTTTTTAGATTTACAATGGGATGGCCATGTAAACAAATAGTATAAGAATGGAAAGTATAGAACTTGAGAAACTTTGTAGTATAGGAAAAAAGACACTGGGACATTCGAAAAGTATCTGCCAAAAAATTCAAAAACCCTAAATTTCCTCTTCATCGTGGACTTTTTCATAGAAATTCTTTAAAAGGACACTATTCACTTACACGCGCATAACATATCTGGCGACTCGATGATTTTGCAGTGGGCTGACTAGATCGAAGACCTTCTTTGCCGGCTTTTTACCGTTTACAAAACCTTTTGAACAGGCTCCAATGACAAATACTTGTCAGTAACACAAGTTTCGATGGGCTCGAGCGGTACCCGCATTCTATCTCGCAAAGAAGTGAGTCGCATAAGGGAAGACAATTTGGCCATGAAACGGTTTAATAAGAAAGAGTGGGAGAGTTGGTTAATTTATGCGCATAAAGTAGGCAGTTTCTCTATATAACGACTCTACAGTAACTTCCAGAACATGCAGACCTACTACGATCTGAAAACTGGAGTAAGAGAAGCACAATTAGGTAGTGGAGGTGGGAAACTCCTCCCACTCAGGGAGCACTGGCAAACTGAGTACTAAGTGATCGAATGAGTATAAACACTCAAGACCGAATACAACTACACCAAGAAATACCATAAAATGTGAGAGGGAGTCTTCAAAACGAAATGGAACTTCCCATATACGCTCTTCGATTACTATAACGATAAATCAATCGTAACGAAGCGTAAACAAGAAAGCGCTAGATTAAGGCTTAGCTGCTCGAGTATAGATAGGTGCCTCAACGACGTTCTTTTGCCAAACGATGCCCAAGGATAGATAGGTTGAGAAGCAGCATTCAACCGTGGTGATTAAGAAACTGGTCAATTGTGCAATAATCAATATGAGAGCGGAGCAGTATGTGTGATGCGATCGCAACAGGCGGGCGGCTGACTGCAAGACAACTGCAAGGAAGCTGCCGCCAGAGGAAAACTACCTATTGAAAACATTTATTAACTTTAACTCATCTACAGAATAAATCTAAGATAGAAATTCTCACAAAGGCAATACATTTGAGGGATTCAGAAGGCATAAGTGATAGTGCTAGAGCTAAACAAATTCACAAAGTCCCAATTCACATCCCCAACATCCCAAATCAAGAGGTATCAAATAAAATCCTACACGCGTACATGGAAAGCGTCGTATTGAACATGGATGACAGGAACTGATGTTAATACCATTCACAGCGGGTCAATACGAAATATACAGTGGCTTTCATTACAATGACGCTTACTAAAGTGAAATCATGCAGATACTGAAAAAAAGAACTGTCGAGTGCATATGAAAGGAATAACCAAGCAAAGGCTATACTTTAAAACAGCCAATAAAAAATTATCAACATGCAAACATGCAAATTCACAGAAACTTTAAAAAAAGGATCAGCTAAAAAAAGAAAACTTCGCATTGACAATCTCAACGATATTTAGATGGCACAGCTGCTGGAGTACACGGACGTCTACTACGAATTGGATTCGGAATAATGATTGGACAATCATTCAACTGTTGTAGAGTCGAGAGAATCTTTTTACCAGACGAATATCTGAAGAAGAGATATGTACATTGCCGTGAAAAAAAAATTCGATGTGTAATGGTTTTGTGTAGCGTGAAAAGTACTCGTGACCATGGATAAGGGTGATTTGGTGAAGCAAATAGTGGCAATACGAAGGGCTCATGAGGCTGGCGATTTGTGGGCAAAACTTCGGCCTCGGACAGGACCCCATCCCGTACAATCCGGGCACTGTGTCCTTTACACTTACACCTAAACTTCCGAGACCATGCTTGTCTTTCCCTAAGCTATAACATAAGTCATATATAAGATAATAAGATATAAGCTATAAAATATAAACCATTAAGAAGGCTGTGAAGTGTACGATAGTGTTAGGGATAGAGAGCATGGTGCCCCAAAGCACAAGTACGGGTTCGTGTTCCTTCCGAATTTGCGAACAAATCGCCAACCTTGAAAGAGTCCACCGTCTACCTATTTTAAGCCAGTCAGCGCTATCGGAAAATAGGCTTCAGGGGTTAATAAGGATAACGCACTAGTGACAACTAAATCCGCAACTTTCCCAACTTTCTTATCCTTTGTCACACCCGGAGCAATGACTAACAAAACAGAAAAAGCAGCTTCAGGCCCATGAGATTCTCAAGCGTTGTCAGCCAAGGTTTGTGGTAACCTGAGCAGAAGCCGCAATGAGAAAGAGCCATGCCCGTGTTCTACTACATAAACAGTAAGTCTGCGATAATCTCAATCTAATGTTCACAATACCTCGCAAGACGAACGCGATTGTGTGATATACGAGTTTCAAGGCGATTGAGCCATTCCATGCGCAGTTCCATGTCGGGCAGGTTTATGCCGCTTCTAAAACATTTTCTTTAAAAAAAAGTCAAAGAAAAAATGTAGAACGACAAAGTATACTTTTTGGCACGTGCAGCTTCACAGCAAATATCAAGCATGCGCTGAACAACGTAGTTACCGTACTGGTGGAACAGCATGATGTCCAGAGCGTCTTTCTTAGTTTCACTATAAAGTAGCAAATGTGAAAAAAAAACTCTGATGCAAAGATAGGTATTCTTACGGATGAGGAACGTATCCATCGAAAATTTCATCCATCATTTCAGCAAGAAGTGCAGGTGGTGCGAACTCCAGCGCTTTCTCAACCACGTGAGATGCATATTTCTCTTGAGACAATGAAAGGAGGTTACGCCTGAAAAATCACAAGTTTTATGAAGCGGAGAAATGCGTAGATAAAATTTAGCCTAAGGTGCAGGACTCACAAAAGGCACTCTTCTATAAGGCGATCACGATAGTCGGACAAAGGGCCCGCTTTAATTACGTGTTGGATCACATAATTGGCAAATTCGTTGCATGCTAGACGTTCACAGTTGGCAACCAAATGAGCCATTAGACTATCGAGAAGTTGCGGACGACGCTTATTAGACTTCTACAAAGAAAATATTAATCAATAATGTCAGTCGCGCAAAATCATTGGTAACCTGAGCGGGATCAATTCCTTCGCGGTTCAATAAAGTTCGAATAACAGCGTGCAACATAGAATGCGTTAATACTGCATATGAGCTTTTCATCACTCTCTCTTTAAGCTCGCACAGTCAAGCGACCACATTAGATGAGGAGATAATGTCAAATATAATGCTTCGTAAGTTAGACCAACCGTAAGGCTGATTGCCCTGTTTAGCTCTTGATCCAGCTGCACGTTATAATGGCTACCGCCANACTTCTATTGCTAGCTGTACTACGCGACATCCATATTTGTTTTCCGCAACCTCGAACAGTTCCTCCTTCTTGCGTATAAACTGTTCGATGATGAACTGCCAGTGATTGAGAGGAAACGTCGTCATGATCTAGAACAAATACAAATTCGTGAGTTAAATCCAATTGACCATCTTGCGTGCAATCGCGTAAAGAGCTGATACAGTGAGCAAAACTAATAGTTGCCATTCACAACCGAACCACTCTTAGACTGAAGACAACATTAGTCCCGGATAATATGAAACAGTAGAACGCAGAATATATTCATTGTATGAGCCTGGGTTATAAGCTGTTTGAACTTAAGATGCAAATATGCATCATAGAAAATGGCGTCGTGTCTACATGGCCACTGAATAGCAGGCACATCTGGGGGTGCTATACAATGGGAACTGTTCTTGAGCCCTTGCTACGCCATATCTGAGCAGCTTTTTGATCCGACAATGTGTTATCCCTAGCTGCCAGAGATCCGCGCTAGTACTAAATCTCAGAAACCCTTCTCATTTGGACTCACATTCCGAGGTATCAGGAAATGCGACAAGTCTTTGTGTAGAGGTCAAGTTGGAGGCACTAACACTTCATAAGATGAGTGAACAATTTCCTCTTTCAGCTATATTCATCGCATTTTTCTCCTAAACTACCTTAGAATACATTAAAGCATACATTATTTGCTTACCTTTTGAACCACATGATTGGCATTTTGGTCGGTGCACAACTCCACAAGATCTTTATTATGAAGTTCTAACATGAGAAGGCTCTTCATATCTTCAGGCAAGCACTGAAAATTTCCACAAAATTATCTTAATAACACCGTCATGAATGTTACGTTAATTTGTAACAAAGTCCAAATGGCCAAGGACCAACAACCGAAAACACAAATTTCATAATTCGGCTAGATTCCTTTTGGTAGTTTTTTGCCTGCTCTTTTTTCTGCTCTACGACTGAATGACGAAGTCTCTAAGAGCTACCGGGGACGAGACGAGAATAACACCGAACGAGCAAGGGAGAAGCAGCTGCTTTTTCTTCGCTGTAGGCTGTACCGAAATCACGTATAGCCGAAATGTAGGCTGTTCCGAAATCACGTATAGCCGAAGTTTGAAGGCATATAATTGCAAATACATAAGATCATTTAGACTAAGAGTCAAGAACTACCGTCGGGAGGTTCTCAAGAATGTGAGCAGTTCAGGTAAGGTTCCTACCCTCGGAAGCAATTTCTCAACGATATTCTCGAAATTGTTTGCAAGATGCATCTATGGCATAGCCGCAGCCAGCTGTGATGAGATGTTCTAACTGACCCTTTACTGTACTCGCGCATGCGCGCCATCCGAGTAATACCCCGGAGTGACTCTTGCGTGGGGCAGGTCAAGATGGATGTACCCCCCAGCTAGTAAGCCAGGCAATTTGAGAGTAATATACACTACCTTCCAGTTCGAAATAAAAAGTGCCTAGTTCTATAAACTGCTTAGACACTCCACTCCTAAGTTTAAAGATCAAGGTGGCTATGTGATAGCACGTCTTCATCACGATCACACGTCTAACAACGGATATTCTAGGGCCTACCAGCTCCACGTGGTAATATCACTGAGAAATGACTTTGTACAGAGTCGAAACCATGACCATAAATGTAGAATCAACAGAGTTACAAATTACTTCAAAGGAAGAATTTTACACACGATAAGTGCAAAATGTCGGGTTGTTCACACCTCTAAATATCTCTAAACTTTCCCACGGAGTGCAACACGGAAACTGTGTTTCGCAATGCTGCTGAGAGTTCGCTTCACGAGAAAGACATTCATTTCAAAGATATATGACCCTCGTGATAACAACAAACCTCAATGACTTTCTGGATCACACGGCAGGAGTAGCGGTTGAGACACATTGGGTGCAGCCCACCGAAAAGATGGCTTGTGATCCATCTCTGTTCTTGTGCATTGGCGTTTTGAACAGCACATTGCACGAAGAAGTTACCAAACACATCCATGCAAAGTGTCTAAATCGAATTTCATTAACAATTTCGGCGACCTAGTGAATAAACTGTCGAATGTAGCGCACCAAAAACGAATCTTTCTGTTCAAACAACACCCTCGCAAGTAAGTCTCGTTCAGGTGTACCTTCACCAGGATAGTTTGCTTGAAGGTACCTAAAAAGGGCTTGAAATAGAGACCGATCCCGAAAAGATATTAATCTAAGCGTACGAAAGATACAAAATTTTAAGCGAAACACTTTTTTAACAAAAAAAGTGATAATGAGCTCACGTGCAACCGCTTTTGTCTTTCGCAAACGTAGCAAGTAACCCTTCCTCGAGTATCTTCTTCAATGGAGCAATAATGTGACCGTGGCCGTCCATAACCCAGCTGGGTAGAGCTGCTCGAGTGCGGCTGTCACCAGCGGTAGTTTCAGCTTCAGATGTTTCATTCAATTTTAGTTTTGACAACGGTGAACCAATGTATGACGATAGCGACGTCTGAAATGAATGTTTTTTACACGCGAGAAAGGAAGAGTAAAACTAACAAAAACCGATCAAGGTTGCAAGGAACCACCGCACCTGAACACAAAAACTCATCTAAAACAAAGTAATTCGCATCTCAAGGCTTACAACTTTCTAGATACTCAGAATGTCCATAATGGACATGTGTTCAGAAACGTTACCCTTGCATTCTACGGAGATTACGGTAGTGATTGTGGGTTCAATTTTGAATGAAATTAATTGGAGCAGTGAAAAGGCTTGATTGCTCGATCATGCTTCTGCTTTAGGTGGGCCCGAACTCTGTGCCATACTCTTAACAAAATACGAGTGAACCAGGAGGTGTTTCGAAGGAAGTTTGTTGAAAAGTATGGCCATGCGATTTCGCTCTCTTCGCGGAAATCAGCCTGAGCTCGAATACCAAGGAATCAAAGCCCTTTCGACTCACATCATTTTTGAAAATAAGAGTGGAAGGAATCAATTTCAACTAGACCTTGATTGATAGGGATAGACCAAGGTTCAGAGCAGAAATACAGCACTCAAACTTCGTGCCTTTGTCAATAACTACATTCGTAAAAACGAGAAACGTACGAGCATAAAAAAGTACGAGACTCATGATCCGTGCATTTTCTGAACCTACAGAGTGCACAAAACAAAAAAGTGATATCCGTGATAAGAACAACTCAAACAAGTGGGTTTCCCGATTTTTTTCATATATTACGTGAGGGTGAAGCGCTAACTGGTGATTAACAGTACTGAAAGTAAAGCGAAGCATTGTCGTGGGGATCGACACAACCATTGCTCTGGGATTTTAAGCTCTAATTGAAATAATTCCCACCCGCTGGAGCTGTCATGTGGGGAAGCACAGTCCCCTACCAAACAGCTTTGCTTTGACGTAACTAGAGTTAAGACAAAATGGATGAAAACCAGTAGCTGCAAGTGTTGAAAATGTAACATACCACTAAATTGAATTGAACCACACAGTAAGATGACTCGGTATCAAAAAGAAAGTCATAATGTACCTAAATAAGGACACACAGGTACTTCTCTGCAACACTTCCCTGTTTTATTTTGAATATTTTTAACAGAAACAAATGAAAGTTCTGAACAACACATTTTCTTAGAGCTATTTCAACCATAACCTAATTACAAGCAAAAATAACTACCTGACTATCAAAATCATTTTGAAAGCGAAATGGAGCGTATGATGTTTGGGTATTTCCTCCATGTTGTATATTTTCACTCAAACTGCCAAGTGGTTGGCGTTGATTTGGCAGTTCAGGCTTGATTGGAGTTGAAGGGAAACCAGGCGGTGAACTTGGCACATCCTCTGAACAAGCCAAAGCTAATACATAGAGAATTCAACACAAACCCAAAAATAAATGGTTTCCTACCAGATAAAATGTCGGCTTTTGAAGAGCTCGAAATACAGATGCCAGAATCCGAAAGTTGAGACGTATCTTGAGAATATATAGGACTCATAAACGTTGATCGACATCCGTAGCTGTTACCGTCGTAAGAAAACGAATAACTGATAGGAAGCTGGCTTGTCAAATCCATAATGAACGACACTGTCGAGAGATGTCAGAGGCGTCTAAAACGGCTAGCCAATGGACACCCTGCCTGTGACCCTGAAACAGCTACAGCAACACTAAGTAGTCCTGAGGACTTGGAAAACAGAAAACCGAAAAAGGCCTCCCAGAAATCACGAACCGACTTCCGGTAGGAAAAAGTAAAAAAGTGTGGGCACGACCGTCTGCCGCTGGAACCCGCCGCCGCCAACGACGCTGCCAGCCGACCAATCAGAGCAACGGGGGGCGGGGCTAGGCATTGACACGTCCGTTTGACCACGGCAGGACGGTCATCGATCGATTCGTATTTTGCTCTGTCCGGGGAATTTCCAGGGTCCTGGAGAACGGTAACCCTTAAAAAATTGCTACGGTGTAGTAAATATCACCTATGATACCAGGAAAGCCCGTCGTTGCGTGTGAAATCCAACAGTTCAAGCAGCCCTGTTGATTTGGTAGACTAACGCCACAACTACGTGGGTAGTTTCGATCGAAGATTCACTGAACAAAGAACTTCTGAAACTGGTTACTGACCTTTCTTGCCTGATGTCCTATTTGTGAGATTTCCGAAGGCGTTAGTTCCCTTTGGAACTGTCTTCGAAATATGGTAGCCCATGATGTATTCGTTCAATAGGTTTGAAGAAAAAGGATGTGGTGGTGAAAATATGTTGTTGAGGGGAGGGGAGGGGGAGGGAGGTGGTAGCGGATTTAGAGCCTGTAATTGTGCTTATGGCTTATGGATAGTAAAATTTCTTATCGAGAGGAATGCAATTTTTTACCTAAGGCATAGGATTGGAGGAGTACCGGGGTGGGTGGGCAATACAATGTTCAATTTTACACCATCCCGGTGTAGCCATCTCACCCACCCGGTGCTCCTTTCGTCAGCTTACAGTGAGATATTAGTTAGAAAATTACGCCTAGGCTTGAAGAAGATGCACTCTATCGTCTAGTGTTAAGGAGGGGACCCCCCTCTCGACTAAAATTTCGCTGAAGATGCTTTAGGGCCAGTAAGAAAAATGCACGGATTTCGATGCAAGATGTTTCATTCACCATGTGGGGTTACCACTGAGTTGCTTCAAGTCTTCTCCTCTTCCATCTTCGACCCCCAAGAGCCCTTTCTAAAGGTCAGCCTAGTGGGCCGCCTGCTCCGCGCGGTGGTGAGAAGGGCTATTCTCAATAATCTAAACTTTGCTTTGTAGTAATGATCAGTTCAGTACAATTCTGAGCCCACATTCTTTTTATGGGTGTGCGGGTAGAACGGTTCATAGAACGGCACCTTTTCCGGTAATATCGATAGAAAGTCCACCATTGTCGTTAAAGTTTTATAAATCAGATGTCTATGATGGATGCATTTCTCCAACGGATTTCCCGCAGGGACAATAGTATTAATGAAGTTTTTTTTTTGCTTACCTGAGACATTGGAGACGACTGTGCTGTAAAATGAACCCCACCCCTCCCCCCCTGCCCTACTCCATATACTCTACTCGCAACTCGTTCTCACTACTTGCATTGCGAAATCGGTACACCGTTATCGGCCAGGTTACTGTAGCGTGAGTGTGCGATAAACTGTGCTATCCCGTACATTGTCGCGCTACAGTAACGGTTGCCCTTTGTCAGCAGCCAAATCGCCTCCGCTCGCTCTCCGTTCCAGCCGTTTGATGGCATTATAACGAGCTGTCTTGGGGGAAGGCGTAATTTTGTCAGTTAGCCGAACAAAAGTGGCTTTGGTGTCGAGGCAGTCGGACCACGATCATTTTCAGGTGTAGTGCCTCGCAGAGGTTTGGTGACGTTCATTCAAGAATGGAAGGGGAACACAGGCAAAACTGAAGAGTGTAAGGGTAAGGTTTCTAAAATAGAATCCACAGAGAAAGGTGTCGTACACTTTGAATACCACCTGAGGGAGAAGGTGATAGCAAAAATCAGTGGCACAACTCCACTGACAGTTCCTTAGCCTTATTTTGATCGCGCAAGAGGCAATCGCCATGGTGAAAGTGATCACCAAAGATCTTGAAGGCTTCCATAACTGTTTTCATAAACAGTTTTGTTTTCAGTGTGATATGCTGAAGTCTAATAAATATCGTCCTCAACAGGGAGCACATTTTTTCAGAAGAGTCGCCGAGAAATTGTGTGGTAAAATCTAAGATTTTCGTATCTCGAACCCTTTGGATTTTGTGTTACAGTAACCTGCGCAATTAGTAGTGGCATGAATTTATGGTTGTGACGCAGTACAGCTTCGAATTTGCCTCACAATGCCTTGGACTAGGCTCTGCCAGAGCCAACCTTTTACTTTCTTTCCATACTTACCCAATGTGAAGTATGTCTAACCTCGCGACTCTCACTAACTCTCCACACTACGAGGCGTCTCTGGCCATAAAGCCACCATATAATACTTCGGGAGAGGGGGGTGGGGAAACGGTCACGATCGCGAGGCATTGTGCATGTCGCCTACTTACCGGTAATGCTCGGTTACAATGAGTTCGTAGGGAGCACGCCTTCGATGATTCTGCGAGTAAGAAGATGGTAGCATGGTAAGAAAGTCTTCAGTGTGCAAGAAGATAAGGAATAGGTTTATTGTTTCGCGGTGTCGTGAAGTTCACGCATTGTTAAAGAGGAATAGGACTCGAAGGAGGAATGGTCTGAGAGGGGACAAATGACCAGACACCGAGATGGTCAGGGCTATTTTTCATCGATAATTTGTCGCATGCTACCTGCCACCTATCAATGTTCCAATAAGGCCCATCCGCTGCAGATTCCGCAAGTGGTTACGATTTATCTATTTATCCTTGCTAGTAGACTGTGGCTGCTTTCATAGTCCGCCGGCGTACCGGCGTGCCGAGGTAGTGCTGGGGGAGGAGGGAGGCAGACGGTCATTTGCACAAGCCCCTGGTTGTTAGGTTTTTGATCTTGTTCTTCCTTGTCTTCAACCCTTCGAAGGGGCTTGGGCGCGACGCGGCCGCGCCGACCGACCGTCTGCCTCCCTGCTCCCGGCACGCCGGCGGACTATGAAAGCAGCTTGTGTTGTCAAGCACCCTTCTCGCTAGAGGAGAACGAAACCTATGATTCATCTTTTATGGTGAAGGCTGTCCAGTTCTTAACAGCTGGGCCGTCATTCATCGTAAAACCGCACGAAATGTGCGGGCATGCCATCTTCGATCCTTTGGAAAGTGCTGCAACGTCCTGACATCTAGTCCTTAACAGAATTCAAAGCTAAAAATCCGAGGATTTCATGATATCGCGTTCGGTTGACCAAATCGAGGTCCTTCTTCGAGGGGGAGATAATTGACCTTTTTGCTCCTGGCTGTGAAGCATTGGAACGAGACGTGCCATAGAATCACTTGGGAGGTTCTCGAAGGCCTTACACTTGTCACGAGTTTAGATGGGCTTCACAAGGAT